TTTTGAATTAGCTTCATGCAGTTGGTGAGTTTCCCTTGAGTCTCCTTCTTGCCGTTGAGGAAGATTGTCCACGTGTATCTTGAGTAATCATCAACTACCACAAGGACATATTTCTTTCCACTTAGACTTATTGGTGTAACAGGGCCAAATAAGTCCATGTGAATAAGACTTAATATCCTTGTAGTTGAGGGTGCCGATTTTGCCTTGAAGGTGGACTTGACTTGCTTTCCTTTTTGGCAAGCATCACAAATACTTTCCTTTCTGAATGCAGCTTTGGGAAGACCTTCTACTAACCCTTCTTTGGACAACTTGTTGAGAGTTTTGAAGTTGAGATGACTCAACCTCTTATGCCAAAGCCATAGAAGGTTAGTGTCACCTTTGCTGATTAGACATGCTTCCTTGACATTATCCCACATTACTTCATAGATGTTCCTGATTCTCTTCCCAGTGAGAATGACTTCATTAGTGGATATGTTCTTAAGAGATGCCATGTCCTTGCAGAACTCCAAGGAGTAACCTTTATCACAAAACTGACTTATGCTAAGAAGGTTGTAATTGAGCCCTTCAACATAAGATACAGCTTGGATGGTTAGTCCCTTGTACACCAGATTTCCTAGCCCTTTAGTAAGGCCGAAATCATTGATTCCTCCAAAAGTAACTCTTGGACCATCATAGGGAATTAGATTGCTCAAAAGGCTCGCATCACCCGTCATGTGTCTTGAACAGCCACTGTCAAAGTACCAGACACCTGGGTACTTAGTGGCTTCCTGCATTAGGAGGAGGAGGATTTTGGTACCCAATTAAGTTTGGGTCCGGAGTAGTTAATGGTGTGTGTCCCTACATCAAGTTTGAAGTTGCAGGGAATCTTCCTTGCAGCTCTAAACTTGTTGGGATTGTAATCATGGTTGTAGGCATAAAACTTCCTACGTGCAGGAGGTGTTATTTCCTGTTTCCTCCTAGCAAACCCAGGTTGATAAGACCTATGATTTTGTCTAGGTAGTGCATAGTGTGTCCTGTGTCGGTTATAAGCATACTTAGGTGGCACAAATAGCTTTTGGGGTGGAGGGTGACTATATCTTGGCATAGTTCTCCACTCAGAATTTCTTGGAAAACTCCTGTCTACCCCATAATGGGTATAGCCTCGTGTATAATGGGGGTTAAAAGGTTTTCTTCTGAAATTATTTCCTTTTTGAGGTTTGTCCAGCTTCCTATAGTTCTTAGGAGGGACTACCTTTTTGGAAACTTCTGTTGGTTTTTCCTTTTCCTTCCCTTTCTGCTTATTTGGTTTAGCAGTAGGTTTAGGAGGGATGAAAGTTGTTTTCCCTTTCCTTTTAGAGCTAGAGGAGTCAAACCCAAGTCCTTCACGACCCTTATGTTTGGTCGTTTCAAGAAGCTTATCCACTGCCTCTTTTGACTTAAGAGTCCCTAGTTCTTTGTTAAGGGATTTCACCTTTTCAGAGAGAGATTCATTTTCAGTCTTGAGTTGAGTGATCTCATTCAGTTGACTTTTCCGACCTTCAGTCAACTTGAGATTCTCTTCACTCAATAGTTTGTTCTCCTCTGTTAAGGAAGAATGTTTGAGATTTATCTCCTCAAAGTCTTTCATCATCTTTTTGAACTGGTCAAAAAGATTTTCAGAAGTTGGTATGCTTTCATAAGAAGATGAGCAGGAGGTTTGTGAGGTTACCTCTTGATCAGCATCATCTTTGGCCATTAGGCAGAGAGTGTCATCTTCTGACATGGTCCACCTATCCTCATGGTTGGACTTTTCAGCTCTGCGCTCCATGCAGACGAGAGCTTCTTCATCCGAGCTTGAGCTGGATGACTCGTCACTTTCAGCAGCAACCATTGCCTTCTTTTTCTTCTCGTTCCTTTCTCTTTCTCCGTACTTCTCCACTTTTGGGTACGGGCACGCT